GCAAAAAGCGAGTGGTGTCTTCTCTGATGACATGCAATATGAATAATTGATCATTTCATCTTTCGTTCTCAGTGAATTAGTTACCATCTTTTCGTACATGCGAATAGTGAAGATTGTGACAGCAACCAGAAAAATCTTGCTTTTCCCATACATTATTTTGTGAAATAAATTATAAATAAAATGAATTTCAGGATGGACAAACGGCATCGGAGGATTGATACGATTGTTGAGCTCCTTTTTGCCATTACAGTACCGCTTTACTGTCGGTATCACTGGACAAGCTATTGCCGCGATTGCCTATCCATTTATCATGTTCCTTCCCACAAAGGCATGCTTCTCATTTTTTCCATTTTTTTCCTATCTTTACCAGAACTTTAGGTCGCTGCGTCGTGGTTCCCTGACAATCAGCGTGGGCTCGCAACAACTATAGGTGTGATGTCGAACCCTCTTGGAGTACTTCTTGCCAATGTTATAAGCCCTCAGATGGTTAAAGCGCCTCAGCACGTTCTTTATTTGAATATTTTCACATTTGTGCCTTCTGCAGTCGCCATGATTCTTGCTACAGTGAGATTTTTTTGGAAGTTGCACCTTAAGAACCAAAATTCAAAATATCATTGCAGTTCTTTGTCAGAAGGAGTGAGCCAAAAATTCCTCCGACATACAGTGCAAGCAAGCCGCAGATGGACTTCATTCCTGGTAATGAGAGAATTGCCCTTTTGCCTTTTGATGCTGGTTAAACTTCTTTTATTTTTTTTTACAGGTCTCAAATCATGCATGACCTCAAAACAATATCTCATTCTCTTCTTCGTTATGGGTGGTGGAATCGGCATGTTCAATTGTTTGTACACTATCATGCAGGTGAAAGACGATTTAAATGATTTTATAAAAATTTACGAGAGTTTTACAGGAACTGTTGTGTCCGTCTGGCTATTCCAACTCTTTCGTTGGCATCTGCGCTGCGTTGATGATCATCGGTGGTATCGTTGGAGCTGCAGGAAGCGGTCTGTTCAGAATTTCTTCTGTATCTTTTGATATTCTAGTTGTTTTCTAGGTATTTTCGTTGATCGCACGAAGATGTACGAGGAAACCATGAAGGTCGCAATGGGGTTAGCAGTTGTATTTGGTCTCATTTTCATGCAGGTTAAAATTTGCCATCAGCTTATGCTATGCCTTTTCTATAACATGAAAAGTTTCTTCATTCCCTCTTTATAGCTCACGCTGCACCCGAATTTTGCACCATTCCTCGCAGCTACATGTGTT